ATAAACTTTCAAATTAAATAGTTAATAGAAACACCTAAATGAAATTCTGTAACCTAACTGTAATGTTATAAGTAGTTATTATTTTCATCATATCATTCTGCTTCGAATAGGTAATTGAAATACCTATATATATATGTTGTAATTTGACTTTTTAAAAGTACCCTTAATAATAAATAATTTTGTATCGTTAAACACTATTAGGATATTATTAGCTACTTGTTTAGCTTACATAATGTAAAAATCGCTGCAAAGTGAAATTTAGTTAACCCTACAAATACAATACAAAAATAAATAGGCAGTAAGGTTGCTTTAACTAGAGACTTTATACTTCCAGTAAAATAACCATACATATTTAATTAGCTTTCGTTAAAAATATACACCACGACTCATATAATGTGTTATACTTACTTTATTAACTAATTAATAAATGTATAGGCTGTCATGCAGAGTCGTATTCCTTTCAAAAGTCAACCCTATAAAAGTATCGCTTAATTTTTTTTATTGTTATTTAATATCGTACGCTTTCTATAGGCTATTGTAATTCCGGTACAGGTTTACCCGTCACATCGCTAAGTAATTTATTATACTTTATCGTGCAGCTTTTAGTGTTATGTTACATTTTACAGTCAATCAAATTATTTTGGATTGACTGCTTCTCGATTATTATATAGTTTCGGTGGAGATAATGGTATTTTATAGGCTAGTAAACCGAACGCCTTACCTATTTATTTTTAGAACGGATACCTTTAAGGAAGTTTTATTTACCTTCTAGCTTAAATATTTTATCACGGTTAACTCACATTTTTCTTCAATTTAAATGCTAATAATTCGAGAAGCGTTTATTCATAAAACTGGCTATCGGCCGGTCATTAATTCGAATACATCATCAGAGTTTTTAATGTGGAAAACATTATAGTAATAGTAGGTCGCTCGAAGATAGCCGTCAATTCTTATAAATACTGAACATGACTTGTATAAACTATTAAAAAAATGATTTTCCGTTCCTACTGTTTTTAAATATGATAATGTTTTCATATTTTATGGCGTATTTAAATATCGGTATGTGTATATGTGTGTATTTTTTTTTGTGTGGAAAAATATGCGCTTTTCCATTGCATTGACAAACAGAGTGGTACATATTCAATGACGTGACTCGAGTAGTGTTATGTGACCTGCACATACAGCCCTACACTTCACGTGTACGCGAACGGAATGGTAAACGACAGCGTTATAACTTGTCGACGTGCTTCGGTTATCAGATACGAGGGTTAAAAAACATGATTTAGCCCGTTTTCCATTCCGTCGAGTCGATTATCTCAAAACACATCTTCTTTTCTTCTTCTTTGGGTTTATATTTCTGTAAGAATTTTAGTTCTGCCACTGTCGCTCAAGAATCCTATCAGAAAATATCAAAAATTCACCCTATACCTACCCGAAAATTGAACATTTTTCTCGACTTACAATTATAGACTTGTTTTTTTAAAAACAAAATGTGTAATGTGTATTATTCTTTGGATACAGTTCTATCGTTAAACATTGACCAATCAAAAACATATTATTAAAACCCTTTTCTCCTAATAGGGGGTGGACATTTTTTCTTAATTACTCTTTTTTTTGACCAAACAATTATTTCATAGGATAAATTGTTGTAACGTGAAATTTTAATAATAATGTACAGGGTAATTTATTAAAAATAATAACTAATAGAGCTCTGTAAAAAAAAAGTTGTTATACTGTCTAATGTTATAAAATAACATTAACTAAAAAGAAAAATAAGAAAATTGCAATTATTTTAAGGTTAGAGTGTTCTAACCTTATTCTATCAATTACTTAAAGCTTATTTAAATAAGAAATCATTAGCTCAACTCAAAGTACTTCCTGCTAAACTCTTTTTTGCTTTTTATTAACTTGAAAAAGTTTTATTTGTATTTCATTATTATAATTCCAACTTTTAAACTAATGAAAATTTGTCCTTAAAAGCGGAAATGTGAATCTTCAAAATCTCTCACAATATAGTTTGTAAAAAAAACCTTTTTTTTTTTATCAAGTTACAGCTCGTTGAAATCTGTTATTTTATTTTTATTTTTTTCAAGCTCAGTTTCAATGGGCTGTACCTTAATAAAAAAAAATGTTTATCGTGAAATATCAAAAGAGCAAGAGTCACATTTCAGCTTTTAAAGAACCTATTCTAAAGTTGGAACAGTTTCGATCAGTTTACACGTCAGAGTTTTTAATTGAAAAATTTTAATTTCCCATATCAATCGTATTCAAACGAAACAAATTGCGAGAAAGGACATTTTCAGATGTGTTAAGAGAAATTGAAACAAGATATGAAAACAGTTTGTATACATTTTGAGTTGTCAAAAGTATTCGAGGCGAATGTACATAATATTTTTTAATCGTCACATTATGTTAAAAATAACAAAAAAATTGGTCTTCGTATTTACTATGGTTTTTTTATGCTTGGCAATTTTCATGTTTGCTATAAATTCAGGTCGACTTCGTCCGAATGTTCAGATAGTCTGTCACAATCGACGTTGGTGCAAAATATGGCGTCGTACAATCTGTTGTACTCTTTCAGGTTAGACGGTGAAAGCGTCTTGACGTCTGTCGATTTGCCTGTGACGGATGAGCGTTTTGCTTTTGTGTCGGACTTGTTGGGTTTGCGCGAAGCCTTTAACATTTTTATGTGGATTTTAGTTTTGGAACCAAACTTGTAAGTCAAGTCGTCGTCGGACGAGTGCCACGTCAACTGCCTCGACATTGTCACCGAACGAAATATTAATTTATCTTGTTAGAACTATATAATATTATGCATGTTTTCTGAAATCTCTATGCATTTCAAAATCAACAAACAACCTGGTTTTTTTTCCAATCGATAAAAACACATGATAAAAAAACTAATATTATTAACTTTGACGCCGAGCTGAGATGATGGCTTTGGCATTACAATTCTGTTGGTTTTATTTATACAGAGTGGCCAGTTTAACACGAGACACGAAAATAATGTAGTTTTTCTTTTTATAGAAAATATGTTTGTTAGATTTTGAATTTTCCTAAAAATATTATTAATTGCCCAAACGATCAGTCTAAATGTTCAATGGATTTTTTTTTTAACTCAATAAGTTAATAGACTGCGTGCGTTACTTTTTAAATTTGGTTAAGATTATATTTATCAATTTATTTTAATACAAAACACAAATTTATTTTTGATTTTACCATTATACGTTATGTAAGATATTTATTAGAATAAGAAACTTGTATTGTTTTTATGAAATCCGAACGATAAACCCTTTTACTAATATTTCACCATTGACGGGAAAGAGAGAGAAGATTTTTTTTGTCAAGATACTAGAACACTCGGTATTAGATGGAAACCCTCATTTCCTTCTTCACCGAAATCCGTTCCTACTTCAGATTGAAATCCAAGCTTTTTTTTGTTTTTTAAATAAATAGTGATTTATCAGTACTAGTTTTCCTGATACCTTTAACCCAACGACAGTTCCGGAATAGAAAACCTTTTTTTTTTTTTGTTATTTGCCTGTTTTTTGTTATTGAAGCTTTAAAGCAACGATTGTTTCTGTAAGTATTTGTTTTAAATATTCACAGCTTACGGTTTTAAAGAGAACGGGAGCGACTACTAAAAAGAAAAAGCAGCATAATATTAGTCTAATAGTTGCATTTTATACAGAGTCGGATAAGTCACCGTGAGCTCCCATCCTTCACTCTATTCCCAAATGTAAAAAGGAAATTTATAAAAAAACTGTATTTATATCTAATATGTGGGGAAATATCCCTAGACATATTATAAGAATCCGACTTTAAATCCCAGTCGTCAACAAAAATAATTTATTTCATTGGGTTGATTACTTCTTCAGGCGATTGCTGGTGATTGATAGCGAGTTGAATTAGAAAGTTTTGTGTGGCCTTATGATTTAGACCTCATACAAATATAGAATATTTGAAACGTTTATTGTTCTAACAAGGGCCCAATTTCAAATTTTGGTTTTTTTCAGGAGACATAAACAACTATTTTTCTAGGTATATATTTTTGGTTTAACGAAAACTTTATTATTTTGTCTAATTTATTACCATTTAACGGGTTGATTTAATTTATAAAATATTACTTTTTCAACTTTAATTTAGCCTAAGGAGTTGTTTAAAAGTTGTAAAATTGAGCCTTCGTTCTAATCAAAACTTTTAAAATAATTGAAAACAATATTAATTTTGATAATATCACAACATTCAAAAGTAGTTTTCACAATATTTTACTTTGTAACATTTTTTTAACCACAGTTGTATAACGCACTTGTAAAATAACACTTATTAGGCTCTTTTTTCTAGAGAAATAAAATTATGTTTTTTTATTACAGTACATAGTTCCGGTATGCAAACTGGGCCAATATTCTAGCACAATATAAAATTAAAAATTAAAAAAATGTTTATAAGAAAAAACATATTTTGTTAAAAAAAAGTCGAATTGGGCCCTTGTTCTAGCGCAAGTGTCTCATTTGTATATTTAATATTTTTAATTCGTACGTTAGTCGGTTATAGGTCATAGATCAGACCGTAAGACGATTATTGCGTTAAACACACTGCCGGTGGGTAGATAATCAGCACAGGGGGGTGCACAACGGCTAAGATTAGACGGATACAAGTGGGCGGGGCACGCAACAACCTACTCTCCGTCGTTGTAATATGATATTCAATCGAACGACCCTCGAAGATACCGTGTGTATATAATATATATATATATATATGTATAAGATTATTATATAGGAGTCGTATAACCGTCGTTCTACAGGTGTGTTTGGGGGATGCTCTCCTGGAGCACTGACGGCAGCGACGGCGGCGAACGGGCCAGAGTAGGTATCTCTCAGCGCGCCGGACCGCCGAATTTGCTACGCCACGGTATTACTATAGAATATTTCCTCATTGTGTTTAGTCGGTTTTCGTACGTTCAACGCATTCGACCCGCCTCGCCGTTTCCTCTTTCCACGATCGGACTAACCACCGCACGATTGTCGTTACCCTTACTGTCGACACAATTTTTTTTTTTAGTTTCTCCTCATGGATCTTTGCGGTGTGACAATGATCTTTGCGGTAAAACGCGGTTTAGGTAGTGCGGCGACCGACGCGCGTGCCAGTGCAACGGGACCGCTCCACCGCCAAGCTAGGATCGACTCGGTGGCCACCGATTCGAACCGTCCAATCGTTTAAGACAGGTAAAACGACCATACACTTGCCGTCACAATAATTAATACGTCTTCTTCTTCTTCTTTGCCCACCCTTGTCCTAAGCCAATGGAAGTTTAGGATCTCCCAAAACATTTTTGCACACACCAACAGTCTTCATATCATTTTCAGTCACATCCAACCACCTTTGTCACCTCACCCTGTGTTTCCCCGGTAACTTTATCCATCAAATAAAACACAAGTGACGGTTCAAAGCAGAACCCTGGTGCAAACTTACTCTAACCCTAAAATCTCCTGTTACTCTACACATACCTTGATACATGTCCCTAATAGCCGATTTTGGAACGCTTTTTCTCATTAACGCTCACTTTAAAAACATCTTCTCTAAATCTATGAAGACCATACATAGTTTTTTTTCTTATTGTCTCTATACTTTTCTACAAGCTGTATTACACAGAACACCGTGTATTATTACCTAATAATACAAATGTGTATATCTCTGTAGTGCCTAGCCACCGTTTGCGTCGCGATTGTAAATTTTAAACAACTTTTGATGTCCAACGGATCATTTGTTATTGTTGATAAACGATGTACGTCTGTTACCGCAAAAAGGCCTCGCCGTTCATCCGGCCGAAGTGATTTAATGGCTGACAAAAAAAAAAAAGTTCAAATCAAAATGACAACAAACCATAAAAAAGCTATCATCGGGGTTGCGCGGACGTGATCGTTCAATGACAGCACCATAAAAAGCTGAGACTCTCTTTAAAGTGATTTGTTTTTTTATTTACTATTTTTACATTTAACGTCATTCGATTAAACGGTAAACCCATCCGAATTAGTACCCTGAACCACATGAATAACACTCGAGTAGTCAATCGAACAAATAGTCTGGCCGCTTTTTACTATCTTATTTTATATTATATTAAAAGCTAAATGGGTTTGTGTTTCAATACATTCAACGAACGTCAGCTGTACAATTTTGTTTTTATTCGAACTAAAGTCGACCACGTAGTATTTAAATAAGACTTCGAACAATTAAACATTGTTGTTAAAACTATTTTATTTTTTACCATTTACTTATTATTATTATAGTGCGATACGTTTTAAATCATATTGTTGTGTGTTTCTAGTATTCAGTAAACAATAATTAAATTCCCAATTTTAAAGAAGTAAAATATGACAGCCACTCGACCTAATGATAATAGTAATAATTATTATCCTAGACAGTGTACCGCTTTATTTGACTTAAAATGTTTTTCAATTTATTAGCTAATGGAGTGGGCGTGCGGTTTAAATTTGAAATTAATCGTAAGCCTTTGCGGTGCTGTTTACTAATGATCGCCGTCACTGTTTCGAGGACGAGACAAGTTAAGTACTGCCGTGGCTTCTACTTACTCGGCGCAGATTGATAGTTATTATGTTTTAATTTAATATATAACGGAGTTTATTAACGAGTTCGTAATGGCTAAATAGTAGCTAATATAACCACGCATAAGGGTATTAATATTGTTATTGGCGTTACTATCGTGTACTTACCGTTCTGGATTTAGTATTACTTTAAAACGTTTGAGTGCGTGCAATCGTTTTCAATTATTAGTATGTTCATGGACCCAGAGCCTCCACCCTGTATATAATTAAAGGTCGTTAAGAAAGGTCCATATTTTCGACCGTTATTGTATAATATCATTACTGCCAGGTAACTAGGCAGCACGGGAGTAATAGGGTCGTTTTGGACACCCCCTTTGACCCTTTGGTCAAGATAAAGAGAAAAAAATTGCATGCTCGAATAGGCCGTTACCTATTGTAAAGGGCTACGCAGAAATGTACCTAAATTGCCTATACCGTGCGCCGGCATACTGTTTCCCATATAATAAAACGATGTTCGCTAGTCTGTGGCCAATGTTGTGTTATAATAATAATTAGTAAAAATCCCGTATATTATGCACGCGGACATAATATTTCTAATGGGAAAATCCCCCATAGGTACGTTTAATAATGGCGTCGGCCGACGGATGAAATTTATGACCAGACAAAATGTACAAACGCGGCTATATCCGCCTACCGTCGGTACTGTCAGGTTTTAAACTCCCCGGGAATTTATGTAAAAACCCGTGCCCACTGCGCGGCTCTCTAAAATTAATACACCACAGACCACAGTGGGACAATATACGTACACTGTGTGTGTGTCACAGAGAGAGAGAGGAAAGCAGAGAGATTACAAATACAACTTAAGCTGAAAATATTCTCCATTTTGGCGGAATACCGCGTTAATGACTGGAATAAAAGCCGCTCTTTCCCAAATGCTGTGAAAGGATAATTAAACCGTCTAAAAAAAAAAAACAACTTGTACAGAGTTTAAGTCTGAAGCTATTAAAAAAAAAACATAATACATTTAAATCGACCGTTTTTTTGCTTCTTAATACTAAACGACTTATAACTTATCAATACCGTTCGTTAAAAGTTTAACTTATCCTCGGTAGCTAAACGAACGCCGGCCCTTTTTTAAAGAGATTATAAAAAGAAGCTTTACTCTAATCGATTTTACTGGATTTTGAAATGATGACAATATCGACCAAGTAAGTTTGTTGTACTAGTCTCGTATAAATCAAAAGGTCACGTTTGAATCTCAAAAGCGAAAAAAAATTATTATCTCGTTTAAGCACAGCCGGCGGTCGATATGGATATGAAAAGTACATCAAATCGACTCAACCCTCGAGAGTGTATTAGATATAGGGGCTTGTAAAATCTTTATGCGATACTCGCATTTATCAAACGACAAAATATATCTTGGAAGGGATTTAGCTCGAATTTACTTCAATTGACGTTATCTTTGCAGCATCCTCCCCTCTGCATCTGTAAAACGGGTTTAATAACCGATTGAAAATATTGTTTTGTAAAAAAAAAAATTCTTGTCACGTTTCGTATTGGCCGTTGAACGTCATACATTTTTGTTTTATTGTTTGTTCAGATTCAATACGGATCCTCTGCTAAATTATTATCGAGCTTTGCATGGACTGTCGGTACTGACTAGCACAGATATTTTATTTTTCTCGGTTGGCTACACTGTCAGATCAAACAAAGTCCGTTATAAAGTGTTATTATTGATCAGCTAGTGTTTAGAAAGCATGTGAGTATAGTCGGAGCAAAAAAAAGTTAAAGGTAGATATATTTACACTACATTAAACTTTGATAAACAAAATTGGTTAACTTTTTAGTGACCAAGCTACGGTTTCAATTATTTGACAAGGGTTTTGTTATGATTAATTAATTTGTACATACTGTTATTAATTTATAGTTGAAATAAAAATAATATTCCTGACCAAAACCTAAGTAACATCTATATAATACATTCGAAAAACATGTCTGTCCAAAGTCACAAGGATTTGCTGGTGACTTTAGACAGACATAGTTTTTTTTAGGGGTGAAGAAATAAAAAACATTCTTTTTTTCGTTTGGAAACTTATTGTTTGGGTCAAGACTAAACTTTTAAAACCATTTTCAGCCCTTTAGTAACAGATCTTCATTGTCAAAGTTAAATTAAAAGTTTAAAAATGTCCAAAGTCATCAGAAATTACTGTATTCATTTATAAACGGGTCATTTCACAGATAGAGGTACATATTTTGTTTCATTAACAAAATAGAACCCCCTGGCTTCAAGGTCTTTGGCTGACCCGTTCCTGACTTATAGTGATGATAGGTTGCTTGTAAAAAAGAGACATTGGAATATGATGACTATTTTGTCTCCTGAAGGATGACTTTTGGGGATCACATTTTAGGTTTATATTGTTAAAGATGAAGTGATTTTTTTAAATTTTCTAAATAGTTATACCGTGTGTTAGACATACCTAAAACTTTGGCAAACGTTTGTATTCTGTTTAAAATACTTATGTTTGTGACAGCAACTTTTGTCCGTTCAAAAAACGAACGTTGTTATGCTATCCACGTCGAACGCAGTACACTATAAAACATAATAGCGGAAAGCACGATAGCTGATCAAATCCCGTTCGATATCCTGTTCCTGTAGGGAAAACCTTTCTACCCTTCCTTACCTACCTCACCAGGGGCTAAACGGCATAAAGATAAATATAATTATGACTGTTGTTGTAGTTGAACGTTCTCGTGAAATATATTATGTACTATGACTGTTTGTTTAATGTTTCGCAATGGTGAATATATATATGCATACTTGGAAAATTAATACTCACCCTGTTTGTGCAACTTGAATAATAATTTTGTTTTATATTTTGATAAATTATCTTTTGACCATCTCAGTCTTCTTTTGTTCTAAAAATATAATACTGTTAAATAAAAAACATTATTACTGAAACGGTGTAAAACATTGGTAATTTAAAAGGTTCATTGAATATATATATATATATATATAATATTATAATAATTATAATATATATAATATTATAATATATAATATTATAATTAGGTTTATTGTTCATCACTGCCCATTTTACCATTAACATAACGAATTCAGTCCGTTTTTGTCACCAGAGAAATTTATAACATAACTGTAGTCGATAATTAAATGTAAATTTATCACTGAATTATTTAGGGTAAATGAAGAGGTCAGATGTATTATTTTCTGTATATTTTCATAAGCCTGAAACTGGGTTGGCGCTTTTTATCATAACAATGTTCTTTTTTCGAGTAGAATACCAAAACTCAATATCCTAAACTAACAGGACTTTCAGATTGAATAGCTAAGTTCAGGCCCTTTGTGAATAATAAATTAAAGTTTTTCTCATGAGGTTTCTTTTTACCAGATTATTATACAGATTTTAGATAAAGGCACCGTCACAGATGTATCTTTGATGTTTTCAAAAGCTGTTTCGTTGACATATTATAATGTCACCGTTGGATGACTTAATTTATCTACCATTTAATTCGCTCATGCATATATTCTCATTGTAATAATATGTATAGACTGGACATTTTTTTTATGTATAAAATTAAGTGATGTCCAAATAAAATGCACAGTAAATATATTATAAAATATAGTAAAAAAAAAAAAGTACAAGACTTCCGACCTATGTAGTTAAACGCGACACATAAATAAACGACAAAAATCTAAGTTTTTCTTTTTGGTTAGGGCATACTTAGAGAGGGAAAGCGTTCAATAGTATCTAGCATTCATTTAAGTTTCAATCACAGTCGGTAAAATGTGGAAAATCTAAACTAGTGATAATTTTATTTTCTGTTTTATTAACCATGTTAAGACATAATCTTTTTATATTATGTTCTATGTAAGTGGGCATTTTATATTCAGTGTTATTTTTTTTTACTACCACGGTTTTTATGACACAAATATTCAAAGCAATAATTTAATATTATTTGTTAACTTGCTTCCCCGGGGTCTAGACTGTTTTATTTTGAGTAGATTGTGTTTTTTGAAACGAAAATAAATTAACCAAAGAAAAAAAAAAGCAAATCTCTACAATGGTGTTTTTAATACAACAGTGGTTTTTTTTTTGTTATTTTAAAGTATAATTTTTTGTAGTATCGTGGGAGTGAAAAGCGTTTTTCATATTTTTATTTATTTTTAATAAATGTCCCAAAAGTACTGGGTTTTTTTTTATAACCAAACCAAAACCATTTGGTGTATATTGGTTTTTCCCATGCTATATACGTCATTTTATTTTACAACTAATTCTACCGACCAACATAAGTACCCACTGCAGATGTTAAATTATAGTTGCTTCTGAAAATTGTCCACATAAAATTTGCCTACAACAAATCCCCCTATAAATAGAAAACAGGATAGTACTGTGTAGGTGTGTGATTTTAAGAGGTTATGTAAAAAATGTTATAATATAAAATAAACACATTCTAGACACAATAAGTTGTAATTGACAATTAATAATTATATAACAAAGTTGTAGTTGACAATTGTTAATTATATAATAAAGTAATTATGCGATTAAAACCCGAATCAAAATTTATGTTGAAACAACAAAAATTAAACAGTAGGTGTATTTTGTGTATACTTTATGTAATAGTCATATTATGATGATATTATGATACAGGATCGTATGGTATTTGGCTGCAGGGCTGGCTTCGATCATGTGGCACTCGGGCGGAATGGGCAGCCACGGCGGTGGCTGGATGAAGCTGATGGGCATGGTGCACAGGGACCGGAGGTCGGCGCAGCGGCATGTGCAAGACGCTGCCACCGCTTTACTGGCTCCAATCGACAGGTAAGCAGTAGATTTTTTATAAATCAAGTACTCAAATGAAAAAAAATTGTACAAGATGCTTTAGTGAGGATTTACATTGAACTTCAGATAAAGGATGATTTTTTTCTATCTTGCTGGGTTTATTTAATAGTACATATTTTTTCCTGATGTTTTTATACAGAGTGTTCCAGTATGGAATGTAAGTAATAAGTGATTGAACATCTGGGGCACCCCTAAATAAGACCCCAGTTTTCTTTTTTTCGATAAGTCAAAAATTGAAGGTTTCACAGTTAAGTAAAAAATAATGACCTAAAAAAACAAAAAATTATTTAATGTTATTCAGTGCAAAAAGCTCACCTTAAAAGAGGGGTCACATCATTTTCAGTATTTTTCAGCCCCTAACTCTTCTCTTACCACTTTTCATATCATTTATTTCTTACCTCTTGTTTCTAATTATTTATCTCTTATCTCTAATAATACTACACCCCCTCCCTTTCCTCCTGTCCTAAATTTGAAACTTCAGTAACTTCAAAACTTATAGTTATCGACCAGTCAAAATTTTTAGTACATTATGGTCAATTCAAAAAGTTAATAAAATGTAACCGTTACCATTTAAGTTTCAAAAGTTGATATAAAATTACTTACATCACATCATACGAAAACATTATGAAAAAAAAAATCAATTATTTATCTAACCCAGTGAAATATTAAGTGACCCATGGATTTACCTTGAATTTCAGGTTTTTTTTTTTTTTGGATACGATTTGGGTTCTGAAAAAATATCTAGATGTCAAAATCAAATTAATTTCCAATAATGTACTTTGACCTTCCTGGCATTGGCCAATAATGTGGATTGAGGGCTTACATTTTTCTGACGATTTTTTCTAGATCTATTCGGAGACTTCTCGTGGAGTTAGGGGTAGAAAATTCGTCCAAGGAGAACCCTAATGTAATATAGTATGCGTGTAAACGATATCGTATAGCGAATTTTCTCTTCGTCAAACTACTATTATAGTTTCAAGGTATTATTATATTACTCAACGTTTCGATACTGCTTCCGGCAAGTGGTGATGACGCAGCGGGGCGTGTTGCTAGTAGTGTATTATTATGTTTGTGTACACTGTAAACGACTCTATTAACGGCACGATGATTTATTTAGAGGGTTGGCTCGCTATCTCGCTGTACACGTGTACACATAAATTCGCCATAATATACCTAAGTACTTTTATTATTATACTATCGCCTTAGACCCGCTTGTGAACGTTTCTCTGCGTCACGATAGAAATTACCGCTTCCTATATACTAAACGGTGTGAATCATTAAACCTGTGCTTCGGTGCTTGAATAATTAATTTCTCGAGGGTAGAGAAATAATAATAATATTATTACTACACGGTCAGCCATTGTTGATCAAGTTAAACACACAAAGCGTGTACCATAGGGCAAATACACATTGTACAACCTGATTTATTCATAAACAATAATATACTATAGTAATTCGTGTACTTGACAGTGTAAATAAAAGAAATTAAAACGCGGTATTACATTTCAGTCTGAAACATAAATTAAAAATATAATATCCGCTTCGACGCGTTGTGTTTTTATGATATTAATAATTGCAAAATGTTCGCAAAACAATGTACTTGTAAGGCTTAATACGGTTTTGTTTTCATATATTTCATTTGAACTTTCGTTGGTTATATTATTAACAAAACAGACTCGGAATAATAATTTTTTTATATACTTTTAATATTCATACAAAATATAGATTGTGATTCGTACAATAAAAACCAACCCCGGCGCGTTATTTTCACTTGGAAATTTGCTGTATTAAATAAATAAACTGTCAGTTCGGATAACTTTATTTACACAAAGTGTTATCCGGTCACTACACTTGAGAAATAAATCGAAAACATTTTTAAATACATTTTACGACCAATAAAAACAACAAAACAATGATATCCAGAAAGCAATTTATTTCTGGTTTTCTCTGTTATGCGATTACAAAAATATAATTGTTATGCTTAATTTTAAATTGACTGTATCCGTCGAGTTAGTGTTTAAATTCCATTCATTGTAAAATATTAGATAACTGCTATGAAGGTAGATTTAAACAATCGTGGCCGCATTATTAATGAACACAATTATTATGCATAAATACATTTTTTTTTTGTTTTTTTGTAATAATTATTCGAATAAAGATTTATTAAATAATGCCCGTATCCGAACAAAAGCGAATCAATTTCTGCTGAGGCATAAAGTGATCATGAATCTAGATAGATAGATAGATGGATGAATCTATCTATCTACTGGTAAAAACGTTTTTATGCAGACTGTAGTATAAGTCGCTTGTTTATAAAAGGGGTGAGTGGTCAAAGTATGTTAACTGACAATTTCAAAACTGTTCCGAAGACAAAATTTTAGTCAATATGTATTCAAATGCTAAGGTCAACACATATGTTATAATATTTTGCTAAGTTGTACAATATTATATATCTTAACACTTTCATTCGTTAAACTATTCAAACTAAAAACTACCAACTCGTCAATTCAGTTACAGTGTGACAACATTATGGTTTACTACCTTTTTTCGAATCGTTGTCTCAATGTCTCAAACGGGTCTGTACGACAAGCATACCCCTTTGCCGGTCTAAAGGGCGTTTATCCGGCTTGAAAGGTCGGCAAAACGGGCAGTAGGGGGTGTGTTCAAAGGCATTTCAAACCGGTGGTGTATTTTTGGCTGTTATAATAATATGTACACCACGGTCCGGGTACACGGTGTATGATCAATACGAGAGCGGGTTGAGGTGTCGTATATCCAGCTGTACGCGGACTAAGTAATGACAAAGGGCGCACGTGCGGGTACAAAGGGGTGAGCGGTGGTTCCACGACCGAAGTCGCATTGCGCTAAACCTTAGCCATTTCGGGTGAAAATAAATTGAATTTATGCAAAACATTTTTTTTTTTTTAAATATTTTTTTCTTACAACAATATCGTTTTGGCGCGTCCGAAAACGCCAATTACCGCGTTATGCAATAACAGTTTTAATGATAATAATCGCCGTGTCGCACGCCGCCGCTACTTGTTTGCGTTCTCGGCCAAACCGACTTGGCTCGTGCCCTATTGTATAAAACGTCCATTAGCCTAACCGCGTCGAAAGGTTATCGTCTGAAATATATTGTGATCTGAAGTAGCTACGACATTTTTCTTGTGAAAGTTTCAAATAAAAATAAATACAATAGAGATGATGTATAACTAGCAAAAAGCGAGAGCAAGCAAAGTAACCTATAGTTTATGAGTAATTAAATAATTCAAAATAGATACTTGTAAACCTCATACATATCGTTTTGGTGGAAGTTTCAAATTAGATACAAATCGAATACTGACGTGACCGTTTTTTGCTACACTTTGGTATTATAACGAATCGAAAAAGACGCCAATCCGGCTCAACCGGCTTTTGGCACGCTCTCGGATAGCGGTCACCGTCTTGTCTTACATATATATAAGCCACTTAACCTAGAAATAGACGGCAGGCGGTTCCAAGATTAACCTGATGCGTTCTATTTTTAATATGATATCCGCCGACACACTCGGCGAAGACAACGACACGGCACGTCTTGGTCGTGATTCTATGTGTGTGTGTGTATACATGAGTTTAGCCGTCAGTCAGTAAAAAAGCCACCTAAGTATAGTGGATGGATCATTTCGCGAAAAGTGGTCACTTTAAATAGTAAAAGTCTTCTATATAAAAAAGTTCAATCGTCATCTTCTTTATTTATTAGGTTTTTTTATCCAATTCCGGGAGAGTGAACACCCGGGCTAAGACGATTTCCATGGAAACTGTGTGTTATCTTGGTTGTTTTGGGAATGCGAAAAATTGAATTTCAATGATTGTAACTATTGTACAAATAATTAGGATTGAATTGCTATTACATGATGTGACTTATGACTATATGTATAATATTTCATTTTCCGATAACACATATTATGTTTTAATGATAAAATTGTTTTTTTTATTTTACCAAAAAAAAAAACGTCTCATTGTGAGTCATTATAAGTAAATAATGACTTATACTATACCTGTAGACATCTTTAGACCTAACGGGCACATAATATGTTTGCCACATTTGTCGTGACGTCATGGCAACATACAACCGTGACGTACGACCTGGCTGCATAATCCATTTGACTATAAGATAACCAGATTTTATAAAAAAAAAACTGTGTTTTATACAACAATATTATTATTCTGACAACGATAATCGAAAAACACGTTTCGTTTTCAACAAAAAAATTACCCAAGTTATAAAAAAAAAAGATTTGAAAAAGATTACACTAAAATTATTGCACCTTGAAAAATATGTATACAGGGTGATCCAAGACACTCGTTTTCTTTGAAATTAATGTGTTAAACGACTTGGTTGGGACGCTAATCATAAGGATTTAAATTGTAAAAAACAAAACATAGTATAATATATTCCAGTAAAGTATGTTAGTACATTTTGTGGTCGGATTTTTGTAGGTTTTTTGAGACCGACTTATTAATTCAATGTCTACAAGTTCAAAAATAAAATTTAAAAATATAAATATTAAAGAATTACTTTTATAAATGGTTATTTTTGAAACTCAGTAATAACGCTTGTCGCCTAAACGGCCATTAAAATATTTATCTTTGTAAAAAAAGTTTTTAACTATGATTTATGCTTAATAATTACTATAAAAATATCTTTCCAATAATAAAAAATTATATTGAGTTAATCGCCCTGCATATTATGTATTTTATTTTTGTTTGTAGAATGTAACGTTAAAATATGATTTTCAATTGATACGTTTTAATACTTTTTTATGTTGTCGTTTATTTATTTATTTTTTATTTGTTTAATCCGTTTGCGTTCTGTAAATGTTTTGACCCATTTAACGAATCGGACGTCAATGTGATCTAAGCCTATGCTCTCTCTCTCTCACTTGCTGTTAGACCCTTACTATGCCAAAAATAAATTCTGCCTAGTTTTTTTTTAGTAT